GGGGGGGGGGGGGGGGGGTACGGAGAGTCAAAAGAGATTACCTTTTTACTCACTATCTTAGCGTGGAAGTGGAAAATTCCAGCGGTCATGTAGTAAAAGAGAAAGATAGGCGTGTCCTGTCAGTGAAGAGGTTAAGAATGGCAGCCTGCAGCGATGTGAGTGGGTGTTGAGCAATCAACAAGGGAATCATAAGCAGCTCAAAAAGAGGGTAGCGAGATGGAAAGACAGCGAGTGTGGGGAAATTAGAGTCTGAGGAAAAGTGAAGCTATGCATGCGATTGGACGGCTGTGTGTGTGTGTGTTTGTGTGCACCTGTCATGTTCCCCTGCAGCCTTTTCACCCGTCTCTCTGACCCCCACCGTGTCAAGTCTGAGCAGATCTCGGCTGCCACGGCTGCAGCTACTATTGACAACACAGAGATCAAGTCCTCTGTATTTTCTCAGTCGGGGTTTGAGAGAGAAATGTGTCTAAAAGATGATCAGTTAATATAACCAGTCCTACGGGGTCACTGCTCTAAGAAAACTAGGCAGAATTTTTTTGATTTCTGTATTCTAGGTCAGGTTGGGATTTAATTTAAGTGAATGATATCCAGCGACAGGTTTTGTTTTTATAGGTATCAACTCACCCTAACGATTTTAGTGATCAAGAGCAGAGTTTCTCATGCCTGAGGTCTGAGGTTGAACACATGTCTCATTATGTTACCCCTCAAAATGTGTTGTCTGCAATGGTTTTCAGAATTTGATGCAAGGGTGTGAAGATGAGGGATTTGGGACTGATTACCTCAGTGTTTCTAGAATCATTTGCTATCTCCCTGTGAACAACTCTTCTCTTTTGTGCTGAAGTAGTGCTATTTATTGTTTACGGATGTAGCCGTTGATAAAAAAAAAAATATGTGTTCAATATGTTTCAGTGGTATCAAAAGACAAACTGGATCTTTTTCCATAGAGCAGAATAAGTAGTGCCTGAGAATGTGTCTTATGGTCCCATTTTTAACATTCAACTTTATAAAAATGTATTTGAAATCGGAGTTATTTGCCTGACCCGCATCAAAGTGGTCTCTTTACATCCGACTGTATAGCACATGGAACAAGAGTGGTAATTTCAAATATCACAAAACTAACCAGATGTTGTGGAAAAACTGGAGATATCATCTCAGCTCACAACCACACAACTCCACTGTTTAACAGATGGATGATCAAAACACATTTTTGATTTGTCACGTAATACCAACAATTACTGTGCTCAATACTGTTATAAAGCATGTTACAAAAAATGTGTACGGTTTGCTATTTTTAAAATAATTCCCATAACATTGTGAATAAGAGAATTAGCTTTGGAGAATCCTGAAAGTCTGATAGTCTGTTGTATTTACAGTCTGACCGGCTCACCATTCTCAGAGAAGTTCTCGTCTTTATACAGACCTGTACCTCCTAGTTCATATTCTATCTCAGAATACAGCACTTTGCAATGAGATATCTGTGAAATCTATAGCAGAACTCTGCGGTTGGGACGATGTAATGTTTTCCCCCCTCTGCTCCTCAGCTGAAGAGATTGAGAGTGACAGTTGCGTGGGGGTCGAACTGGCATTGTTCTTTCTCTGCCATCCTCTGCTGGGATGGTCGGCAGCAGGTGCTGCTGTCCGTTGAGTGCAGGGTCACACAGTGGTGTTGTTTTGGGAAAAGGGGCTGCTTTGCTGCCAGGTGGCAGTTGCTGGCAGAGACAGTTATGGCTTTGTGTTTCCTCCAAGAGTTACAGCATCAGCTGCCCCTTTTGCCCCTCTTAACCGACAACCCCCCACCCTGACCTAATGGCCCTCACCCTGGCTCTAACCCTTGCTTCTCCCAGAGCTGGAAGTGCATACGAGCATGTGTGTGTCCGCCTGAGCTCTGGCTGTGTTCGCAGGCCCAGGCCAATCAGACTGGCTAGCACAGATGTGACAGGCTTAGAGGAATGCTAGGAATGCGGAGGCGCTGGAGCGGGCGTGTCCATCCTTGGCCCGGGGCAGAGGGGGGCGGGCTAGCTCAGTATCGGCAGACAGTTCAGCTTTGCTCTGCTGGCCGACCGCCGGGCTGACTGGTTGGAGAGTATGGTGAGTGCTGCAAGCCTTCTGGAGATGGCCTGCAGTACTTTTATGGTAATTGCTCTAACCAGGGCCTTCTGGAGGCCAAGTGCTAAAGAGTGTGTGTGAAAAAACAGGACTTGTTTCTCCTGTCATTATGTGTCTGGATACTCTAAAGGTTGTTAAACCGTAGACTTCTTAGACACACATTCTATTGTGGCACATCTTGACCAGTTTTTTGTTTGTGTAAATTTCTGTCAGCAAGTTTAGAAGAGTTTAGGTCATTATTCATAATGATACAGCGGTTCAACCTCTCCCTTTGGCCCAATTTTCAACCACAGAAACCCAGTAAACGTGACTTGGCAAAGAAAAGAAGTGAAAAAGACTGATAGACTGATTTTCCCTCGAGACAACAAAATAATCCTTTTTGCACTCTCTATACACCGAAGAGGATTTTTTTGCCTGATCCCAGCTGCACTTTGCTAAAAAAGCAGCGGTTTTTAAATCTTATGTATGGCACTGAATGTAAAGAGGACCACGAATAGAAGCCTATTCTCAGCACAACCTGTTTGTGCAGAATGTCGAGAGTAGATGTTATGTCATGAAAAGCACTGTTCTGTTTTCTAAGCAATATGTAATGCTACAGGGCCACGTGAGCAGACAATAAGGAGGTGTGAAACAAGCGATCAACCTTTTAATATCTGGCTTATTTCAAATAAGAAATTACATTTTTAAAATAGATCTCCTATAGGAAACAGAGGTGTTATTGTGCACTGTGACCTGTAACAAATGTGTGTTTGCCCGGGGTCTGAGGAGCTCTGGGAAAGGTCACACTGTCTTTTGACATGAGACAAGAGTGCCACCTTCTGTCCAATTTAGGGTATCAAGTCAGCAATGTACAAATATTACATCTTGTTTTTGTTTGTGACCTTGCTTTCTGTTTTTTGCTACAGGTCGCAATGAATTGATAGCAAGGTACATCAAGCTGAGGACGGGCAAAACCCGCACAAGAAAACAGGTAAATAAGTTTGAATGCCTTTGGTGATTGGATTAGAATAATCACGCATGGTTTTAGTTACTGACATTACAAGACATAAAAAATATATCAACAGAAGGGTTAACACTGTTCATTCTGTAACAACTATTTCATTAAAGGATTTATGTAAGTTGAATTTATTATTTATATTTCTTATTGTCAACAAATCCCATGAAAAGACCAAAACCAACAATGTGATTGCCTGAATTTCAATAGCTTTCGACTTATCTGCCTTGTCTGTGTCTCTCAGCCACCCATCCCAGTTTTTCCTACTGAATGTTAATCTTTGAGTGGGTCATAGTGGGTTTAATATTTTAAAAAGGAAAAAACTGAAACAGCCGGGCACGGCAGTTTTAACACCTTTCAAACAGGAGTAAATAGTGCATTTGTTTGGGACTATTTTCTACACATTTGTAGTAAAATAATGTTTATAGTCATCATAAAGACGCAATGTGATGTACCCCAGTGCAACAGTTTGGCTCATTGATGTATTTTTAATAGTTTTTGGACAACAATGGTGGTCTCTGGGGATTAAACCAACTTTTGATGGTTTTGGTCATGAGATTTGTTGGTAATAAGTAAAATATAAAATATCACCAGTCTTATCCTTTAAATCAACTTTTAATGTTTGGATGAACTATTTAGAACTCTCACTGTATTTGTTATCAACTCTGCAAGTGTGTGTGTATATGTCTATACTTGCATACGTGTGTGTGCGTGTGTGTGTGTGTGCATGCATCTGAGTGCATGTTGTTTTTTTATGCTCAAAAACTGTTTCACACCCTTTTAGGTGTCTAGTCACATACAGGTGTTAGCACGGAAGAAAGTTCGTGAATACCAGGCCGGTATAAAGGTAGGTCCCGCAAACCTGCCTCCCGGCAACACTGACAGGGCGACTCTTTCCTCTTTGGTTACGGCTTCTCTCTTTCTTCCCTTGTCTTTTCTCTCCCTGTCTCCTTTTCCTCCTCTTGGCTATTCTTCTGTGCAGGTTTCTAGCCACTTGCAGGTTCTCGCCCGGAGAAAATCTCGCGAGATCCAGTCAAAGCTAAAGGTATGCGCTTCACCGCGGGCTCGGCGGGGCTGGTAAAGGCTTGGCTTTGCATTAACCTACTAATTTGTGCACATTATTATCAGCCCTTGCTTTGGTGCAAGGCCAGTTCCTGCTAGATCAGTGGCATGGCAAGTAAAATACATTGTTTAACGATAAATCAGATGATAAATATTCTGAAGGAGTTATTCTCTGATATACCCAAGAGAACCACAGTCCTGCTTCTGTAGCATGCATGCAGTGCACAAACAAAGCTTTTTAACTTCTGGAGGTCAGAGCTGCATGAACTGTAAGGCTAATCTCATCACTCAGTAGTGAAAACATAGTAGCTGATTCTAAAGCTTCTTTTTTAAAGGAATGTTACACACGCTGTTCTGATGAGCCCAGTGAATGGTCATTTAGCTGCTTGTTGCTCCAGCTCTGTATCAGTCCTCAGTGCCAGCCATGCTTCTGCAGCAAACTGTACTTCTCTGAGACTTCTTCTTCCCCTGAAACTCTTCCTTCTTTGATACTTTTAGTTCCTATAATGTGTCTGTTTGTGGTGTGTTTTGTAAATCTTTACAGTCAAAAAACATTAATCTTTGACTGTTGTCATCATTTGACTCCTTTTGACTTATCTTGTAGTTCTTTCAATCCCTCTGGTCTCTCCTCATGCTTTATTTTGTTTTTGCATATGTGCATATACATAACATAGACACACAAAACTGAAGACATTGTGGCATTCTGTAGTGCTAACTTAAACTTAAATTAACCCCTGTATGCAGACTAATCCTCCAGTGGACACCAACATCCACAAGTGGCACATATTGTTTCATATTAAATGAAACTGTAAAAGATAAAATGAGTCATTTTTTTAGGGATGTCACATGTAGTTCAGTTCACCCAGCAGTGGCTGGTGTGATAACATGTAGGGAAATAGATGCAGCAACCTCCTTACATCCTTATATCTCATACGTTTTTTACCTTGAGAACATATGGTAGGGAGAATCAACTTGTTTTTATGTTTTTACTGTTCATAGTAAGCTATAACTTTCCTCCCTTCCCTGTTGTTTGTCCAGAAGTTAGAAGTCCTCACCAGTGAAGGACAGAGCAAGGCTGCCACATTATCTGCCGCAGTCTTTTTCACATTCATATTATGGCATTAAAAATTGTGTTTCCAAAATGCTTGCCGATCTTAGAATTAACACAATTTTCCAAACATACACATCATACGTTGGATTGGCACTCTGCGTCTTCCACATTTTGTGGAAAGCATGCTCTAAAAATGGACCAACAGTGAGCAGTATAATGAATGAAAATCAGGCTTTTAATATACTGAGTGGTGACTTTCATCCTCTCTGTTTCAAGGGATCAGTCATGTTTTCTTCTGTTTTCTCTCTGTGATTACTTTTATGCACATACTTACATACATCTGTACTTTGAGTTGACACATATTTGTAGCAAAATGTAAATGAAAAAGTATAATCACTTCATGCTTATGTGTACTGCTTAAACCCATTCACAAGTTTAATTTGAACAGTTTGTTAAAAATGTAATGTAGTCAAGGCATTTGGATTTGTTAAGTTTTGTGGCATTGTGCAGCACCTTGCAATGCTGTTCTTCCTTTTAACTTATTTTCTGTAGCTTTTAATTGTTAAATATCAACTAATGTGTAGCCGCACCAATGTTTTGTCCAAGGGTTTAATCAATGAAGGCTTTATGCTGTTAAGCCAGAGTAGTTTATTTGTCAAAGAAAAACACCCTCAAAAGTAACTAATTTCCAAGCCACTCTTTTGAGTTCAGATGGCTGACAAAGAGCAACTCCTTCCTCGAGGGAATAAAGGGGAATTGTAGCATCAGCTGAACAAACATGACGTAAAAGTGTGATTGCTAAAATGGCTACACACTCTAGTACCAGATGTAGATTTGATGTAATACACTGAAGGCTTTTTGTGCAAAAACTTCCAAGGATTTAACTTTTGCTCAATGTTTCTCCTCTGTTGGTATTCTTGAAATGTTCAGTGTTATAAAGCGATGTGTTTTTTTAATTTTTATTAGGACTTTCTGATAGAATATCATTAACTTGCTGTACCCAATAGCTTTCAAAATATTGTGATACATTTGTATTAAAACATTCTTCTAAGATTAGTCACAACTGAGCCTTGTAACCGCTAAACCAGAACAGACCGTCACAGTGTGTTTGGATAAACATGGCATTTAGAGTTTTTGCACACCATGTCAACATATAAAAACAGAAGAGGCAAACCTGGACTGAAATGCACTTAGTCAAATATGTCAACCAAAACTCTTATTTAATCTTAATAATAAATGATAAACACATCATTTAGAACTGCATAGTACTAATGGTTTCTTTCTTTTTTGATTCAGGCGATGAATTTGGTAAGTGAATCTGAATTGTGCAATATGCTTCCCCCCTCCCCTCTGTTTGGCAGCACCAGTGCACTGTCCCCTTGCTATGGCCCTCTGCTGGCATGGCATCCCATCCCATTGCTATCCTGTAATGAAGCAATACTTAGAAAAAGAGCCACGCTTTAAACACAGTAGTGCTGCGCATCCTGCCTGATGTAGAGTAATCCCCTCAGCCTCTGCCAAAAGCCAAAGTCTTGCTTGCTTTGCATAAGGTGTCTCTTTGATTTGGGTTCTCGCTTCTGAGGCGTCTTTCTTTTAATTGCAAAGTCAGAGCTTAACTAGTTTAAGTGCATTATTTTGCAAACATGAAAAAAGAGCAAGATGATGCATTTTAAATTTAGTTTGGTATATTAAAATGAAAGCTTTAATGTGTTTGTAAGTCAATAAATATGTATAATGTACCATGGACATGGATTGGTTGGCTTTGTGTATCTTTTGCTCCCCATTTCACTTACAGTACCACTTAGTGCCACTTTCATCTGCATAGTCAAACTTGAATTTGTTGATGTACGCTGTTTAAAGCAACATGAATGCAAATCTTCATTCCAAACCAATGCACTCTCTTTACTCTCTTTTTCCTGTGGTGATCCCGATAACACACTGACATTCAGTTCACAAGCTTAAATATCAACGCTGGAGCAAAGCAGTACTGCTTCATCTTCTCTGTTCTTCTCTTTGCTTCAGCCTGTAAAGCTGCTCTTTTCAAATATTGTTCTCTTTATTAAGTTTTGAGAATAATTAGAAAAGTAGAGTCACCATGTAATAGGAGTTTTTATTGACTGTTAAGCTAAACTCATGTCAAACTTATCATCTCCTCAAATATATTGATTTTAGATGTATCAAACAGCTACAAATAAATGCAGCGTAGTGTGGAAGTCTATACACAACACTACACACTAATGCAGCAGTAGATAATGTTTAGGCTATGGTGCCACCTTGTGGTTGACCCTCGTTACTCTTCTGTTTCAATCTGTAGGATCAGGCGTCTAAAGACAAAGCCTTGCAGAACATGGCAGCGCTGTCGTCTGCACAGATCGTCTCCCCGAGTATGATAAAGAACCATCTTCCACCACTGCCTCCTGCCCCCTACCAACCAAGAGTAAGCCCACCACTTATTTTCTGTGCAATTACAACACGTTTTGTTGACATTCTTAGCCCTAAAAAATTACATTAGATTTGATATAATGAAAATGTATTAATACTGTAGCACAAATAACACTGTTTTCTTACCCTCCAGTTCTGGTCTGCAATCCCAGGACAGCCTGGACCCTCTCAGGAGTAAGTAAACCCTGCTATTGAACCCACAAGATGTTGGTTGTGGGGTGACATCAGGTTGTATTTAGTGTCTGAAGAGAGAGAGATTGGTGCTAGAGATGAGTAAATACATGAATTCTGTCAGTGACTGAGGGGTTTAGGTCTAATGTCAGGTGGGTATTGCAAGGCATGTTTAACGGATCACGTTTTTGCACACCAGGCTGGTTCTAGATCTCAACCAGGGAAGGACTCCTGGGTTTGGCCGCACCAGCCATGCGTAAGTTCCCCCTAGCCGAGGTCCAACTGTGAGCACAAAGCAGCACTAACTCTTCTTCTACACTGTATTGTACTGTATGTTTCCTGCACTGATGTAAACCACCACCAGGCAAATTAACTGCTTCAAATTTGATTGAGAAAAAAAGGAAAAATTTAAATATATAAATATTATAATAGATTTTCTAATATTTTTTCAGAAAAAAGCATAATTTATTGATGCTATATTGCATCATTAAGAAGCAATGAAGCAGGTGGACTTACGCCTAGCTGGTGCAACAACACATGCTTACACTTTGACTAACAGATTTTCACAAAAAAAAATAAAACGTGTCAGAAATACAAATATAGGAGGACCCATGTGCAACAACGGTTTGCTACTGACCCTGTATAGCGGAGTCATTGTCTCACTGACCCATTCATTGTCTTTCAGTATCAAACCTTTTGCACAGCCCCCATACCCAAGCCTATCAGGTCCTGTACCACAATCCATACCAAGTAAGTATAAAGTAAAAAAAAAAGTTTTTAATAAAGTAAACCAAAAATAAATGCATTTTATAACCGTTTCTTTGTGCGTGCCATCCAGGTTATGAGCCCTTGGCACCTCCTCCTGCACCAACTGCTACTGCAGTTCCAGTGTGGCAGGACCGGACCATTGCCTCCTCTAAGCTGCGGATGCTGGAGTACTCAGCCTTCATGGAGGTCCAGAGAGACCCAGACAACGTGAGTGAAGGATTACCACAAGGCTTTCCACATACGGACATGCATGGATTACTAAACAGGTCTAGTGGGCATAGGCCCGGGGGCCTCAGGGCTACAGCTTCAGTTTGAAGTGACTGTTAAAGGTCCATTGTGTAACATTTATTTGGATCTACTGGCAGAAATGGAATATAATATTCATAGGTAGGTTATTATTTTTAGTGTATAATTACCTGAAAATAAGAATCATTGTGTTTTCATTAACTCAGAATGAGCTGTTTTTATCCATGTTTCTACAGTAGCCCAGAACGGACATACCAAACACTGGCTCTTTAGTATCTGTTAATCAAATCCAATATCTATTTTTGTTTATTATTTCCTTCATATGACAGCTGCACAACATACTGAAGATACAATAACATAAAATACATTATTAATAACATTATTAAAGTAATTTAAGTTGAATTACACAAAACAACTGCAAATGAAGTAGCCGCATTGGTCATCATCTGGGTGTCTATAAAAGGCATGATGGACATTATCTCTGACGCTGTCTGGATTGTCCTGATCTGGTAACACTATCTGCTACCTAATGTACAACAAAGGCCAACTGAATATTTAAGTGGTGTTCGGTACAGATCTGATGTCAGAAGGCTGCAGACAACCTAACAGTCTCCTCTTTCCCTTTTCTCAAAAGTGAACTGAATGTCACATTAAATTTTGCAGCTGATGTTTTTAAGGTTAACCACATCCTTTCTTGTTATCTCTGTCCATTGCAGTACAGCAAACATCTGTTTGTCCACATTGGACAGACCAACCCCTCCTACAGCGACCCACTCCTCGAGGCTGTGGACATCCGGCAGATCTACGACAAGTTCCCTGAGAAGAAGGGCGGGCTCAAAGAGCTTTATGAGAAAGGCCCTCAGAATGCTTTCTTCCTAGTCAAATTCTGGGTGGGTTGGTATTATTATAGTATCTTCTACCAGTTATTAGTTGTTATTGTGCAAACACTTGTCTTTCACTTTGTCTGGTTTATACTAAACATTATCCCAGTATAGAAAAGTGTGAAATCTTACTTATGTCCTGTGTTTTTAACATACAGCAGTTTAAAAGTGACACAAGCAGTAGTAAGTAGAGCTTATGCAACCACTTCCTTTTCTTATGAAACACCAGTGGTTTTCTTATCTTAGTGATATATATTATAAGACGGTATTTCACAATTGATTCATGGTGTACACTGCATTTCTCTTTATGTTAGTAGACTGTCTCCGCACACATTATGTTCTCCCCCAAAACATCTAGTCTCATCATGTATGTTGTTGCCCAAAAACAAAACACCATTGGAAGACCTTCAATCTCACAATTCATGTGCTATCAGGAAATTAAGTTACATCAAAGTATGTGATGATCATTGATAATCAGATTAAATGTATGACCTGTGCAGGCGGACCTGAACAGCAGCGGCATGCAGGATGGTCCTGGTTCTTTCTACGGTGTCAGCAGCCAGTACAGCAGCCTTGAGAACATGACGATCACTGTTTCAACCAAAGTCTGCTCGTTTGGAAAGCAGGTTGTCGAGAAAGTAGAGGTAGGAACGGGCAGTGATTCTGTATGGTCTTCTCAAAAGATTGATACGCAGTCTCTTAATGTCGCCTCACTGCTTGGTGTTTCTGACCGTGTTGCAGACAGAGTACGCCCGCCTGGAGGGAGGAAAGTGTGTTTACAGGATCCACCGCTCTCCTATGTGCGAGTACATGATCAACTTTATCCACAAACTCAAACACTTGCCTGAAAAATACATGATGAACAGTGTTCTTGAAAACTTCACGATCCTACAGGTAACGTACACTCGGTTTTATCGGATTGTTAGAGGAATAGTTTGACGTTTAGGGAAATGTATATAATAGTCGCTTTTCTTTTATTTCTTGCAGAGAGTTAGATGAGACGATCAAAAACGCTCTCACATCTGTAGGCTAATTATAAAGCTACAGCTGACTAAGCTGAGCACAAAGACTGCAAATGCGGAAACAGCTAGCCCAACATATAACCCCCCATTAAAGCCACAATTAAACAAACGTGATATAATGTGTTAGTTAGTGAGCTTTAAGGGTGCTGGTAAACAGGGCCAGGCTAGCTGCATCCCCCTGTTTCCAGTATGTATGCTCAATTATTCTAACCGGTAGCTTCACATTTAGTGTAACAGACACGAGAGAGGTATTATTCTTCTCATCTAACTCATCTCATCTAACTCTCAGCAAGATAGCCAACAATTTCCCCAAATTTCTTTAACAAATTAAGAAATGATCAAGTGATTGTCACTGCACTATTTTTATACAGACTGTGCTGCTTCACATTTCTCACTTGACATTTTCCCTTTGTCCCTCAGGTGGTGACGAACCGTGACACCCAGGAGACCTTGCTCTGTATAGCGTTTGTTTTTGAGGTTTCCACAAGTGAACACGGAGCTCAGTATCATGTCTACAGACTTGTTAAAGACTAACAGCTCTTCAGGGAGGTTTTGGAAAAGCCAGACAAAAAGCGTGACACAATCTCTCTTCGACCAGCTCAACCATCCAGGAAAAAACAACAAAAACAAAACATTCAAACAATCCTAGACCGAACTAACATGGACACATTTTATGCTTTAAAAAAGTCTTGTTTGCAAGGAAAAAAAGAGTGAATCTCAACGTGCCGACACGCAAAGAAATTTTGAAGAATTACGGATTTTTCGAACAACTAGCTGTCTTCCATGTGTTTAAACATGCTTTAGATGAAGTGGGTCACTTTCCCAAGGTAATTGATGGAGTTTGAAATGTTTTATTGAGGGAACGAGAACGTGTTTAGGGTTTAAAAGACTCTTATGGTATCCAAGGGAACACACTCAATAAGAGAAGTGTACATAAGATTGAAAAAGTAAAGAGAGAACAGGACCACGGAAGGGGAAAACCAGAGCCAAGTGGTGTTGTTGCAGTAGGTTTGTAAGGAAAGCAAGTGCCTTTTCTCCAAAGATTATATCATTGCCTGCCACTTTGGATTGCCTTTTTTTTTTACTACCTCTTGTTTTTAAACAAACAGAAAATAATCAGACAGGTGTATTTTGTCAAAAAAAATTGGAAAGAATCTCTCAGATCTACATCGTGTGAGGCACTTTTTGTATTCCGGCACACAGAGGAATGGGATGGGATAACTAATTTTCATTGTAGCCTGTTGTTTTACAAACAAAATCGTCCCAAGTTTTACAAGTCCAAGTGTACAGGGAGAAGGTTTATTGTGTTAACGTACTATTTAGGTTCTGCTTTTTTTTTTTATGTTTTATTACACAATTTAAAAATCAGGTCTTACAAGCATCTATCTATAACTGACTTGTGACACTAGGGATGCTTTGTACCATTGCTAGCCTAAAATAAAGCCGGGGCTTTGCCATCCCTACCAGATCCCCTGTTATTTCTCTCTGTTTGAAGACGTGTGCTTGGTTGCACTTAAAAGATCCAGAAGGGGGGAGGTGAAGCAACAGCAGTGCTTATTTTCTGCCTTGAGTTATGTAGCCTAATTGAAAGATGAATTGTTTCTGTACTGTGAGTCAGCGGATGCTAAAGGAATATGTGTTACATAGGAGTATTTTTGGGGGGTACTTTATGTTCATATTTGTGATCAAGTAACTCAGCACAGAGACGATGGTTTAAGTGGAGAGAAGTTAATCACTGTTTCTTTTGTTTAAAAAAGAGATTGTATGCTGTGAAGTCGGTTCATTTGCTTCACCCTTCTCCGTGTAATGTGTGGAGAAGCTGCATCTGTTAATAAAAGTTCAGTTTTTATATTTAAGACCATTTTTTACTGACATTACACATGAAATAATTTTGAAATCAAACTAAATAATTGTCTTGAATGAGAGCTATTGTCTCTGTGCTGTGGAGTATGACCATTGATTGTTATTTATGGGGTTGGAAACGAAATAGCGGGAGGGCAGGGTGGGGTACTGGAGATGTATTGATCATTTTCTATTGTGATGGAGATGTTAAAAGTATTGCAGGACTCATATTAGAGACAGGAGAACTGTCATCCCATGGATCCTGCTAGACAAGTGTCTACTCTGTGTGGTTCACTGGACAATTGTGCTATAAAAGTTCAAATTTAAGATATTGTACGGTGGAATAATTGCACCTGGCTTTGAATGTCATATTTCACAAGCTAGATACAATAACACTCCTACTCTAGCAGGTTTCTCAATTTATCTTTTATACAGACTTTTTTTTTTTTTTGCCATTATCAAGATTAATGTTTTTGTTTTGATTCTGTTGTCTTTTGACTTTCAGTGTTTGCCATATGCTTCACTGAAAATAATGTGTGATTGTGCTGATATTGATAATTAATAATGAGATATCTAATGTATCATATTCTGAATGGTGTGGGCAGTTTTTTTTTTGTTGTTGTTGTTTTTTTGGGGTTTACTGTTGTCTTTGTTACCATTGTGCATTGCAATTTTATACTTCAAAGTAGAGGTTGGACTATGTAATCAAACAAATGTATCTAACAATAAAAGACGCATGGTGCCTTTGGGGCCATTTTTCCCCCAGAAAACTTATTAAACATGTTTGTAATTTTGTTTTGTCCACGATGGTTATTTTCATGCCGTTACTACAAAGGCCTAGAAAGCCAAATATTGTGTTAGCGCTGAATTCCACAAATTAGCTACAGATGGGTGACAAATTAAAGCAAAAAGTTGCATAAACGTTAGCTCTCAATCAAACCATCGTGTGCTGCAAGAACAGCGCCAGTGTGCATTGGCATTGATTCTACAAGTCGCTGGAACTCTACCGGAGGGATGAACGCCATTCCTCCAAAAGATATCGCCTCATTTGGTGTGAGATCTGGTGGCTGCAAAGGCCTATGATTCATGTTCATACTCATCAAACCTTTTACTGATATCTCCTGCACTATGGATGGGTGCATTGTCATCCTGGAAGAGCTCACTCATATGTATATATATAACAGAGCCACTGTAGGGGTGAAGCATTCAGGCCTGTATCGTTCTCTCGGTGTACGCCACACACTCATCCAGTTGGCGAAGGATGACTCATCTGACCATATCACTTTTTTTCCAAATTTCTGTAGACAACTACTACTGAACTCTCAAATGTGCATTCATCTTTGTAATGAGGGGTTTCTGCACTGCAAACCTACTATAATATCATGACTATGTAATTGTCGAGGTAATTGTTCTTGCTGACACAGTTTGATCACATCCTGCACTGACATTCCCTTTTCCCTCACATTTCACACTAAAGCACAATAAATTACTATTATTTACTGATGTCTTTCCCATAGCTCTGAATGCAGATGCCACTTTATTGAAACACTAGCCAGTTGTGATGGGCCACAACTTCCTGTGTAACTCCTTTGGCTGAAAGAACTACACCTCCCACAATTACTCGCGGCTGCGACGTGTTCAAACCGGAAACTGCAGTCAAGTCAGCTAAAATAACCCCGGATGTTTGACGAAAGCCTCCAAAATAAACTTTTGCACCAAAAGAAGTGATTTGTTTATCTGAAATCTTTATTGTTATTATTATTATTATTAGCAATAAAGTATTCACAGTCCAATCAAAAACGTGTTCTACACAAGCGCCCCGGTCACTCAAATACGATCGCAACTCGAGTTCCTGTTTTATTTTGAAGGAGAACTCCAACCGGAAGTCATAACAAAATGTTTTTTCTTATCACAAGCTGACTTTACGCCGACAGGAAAAGGACGTAGCGATGGAAGTCGTCAAACAACGCTAAGTTAGTGTTAGTTGTCTGAAGAGCAGAAAAATGTACACCCTAGAAAATAATTAACTATTTGTTTTACAATAATCGCCAACCGGCACGCTAACAGGAAGCGTTTCGGGTGCAGAGCCAGAAACCGATATTCCAACATTGTAACGGCTCTTCAAACGGCCCCGGCTGACGTCAACAGGTTCGCGAGGTGAGCTACATTGACCAACGTTCGTGAATTAACGGTTCAGTGAGTGTAACGTTAACGGTTGAACGGAAACCGGAGCCAGCTTCGCAGTCACGGAGACTGTAGTCACGGAGACTGTAGTCACGGAGACTGTAG